AGGAAGTAAAGTCTCATTTTGAAGCAAAAATATGGGTGTGTGTTTCTGATACTTTCAATGAGATGAAGATTGCCAAAGATATTCTTAAATTTGTGATTGGTAATGCTGATAAGGATGTCATTGAGAAATTGCATAAATTGAATTCTGCTGTTGAAAAAGTGGAGAAATTGAAAGATGTTATTGTAGAAAAGGGGAAATTGAAGGATGTTGTTGAAAAATTAGATAAATTGGAGGATGTATTGCAATACCTTAAAATCTCAATCGAGGGAAAGAAATTCCTACTTGTCCTAGATGATGTGTGGACTAAAGAGTATGGAATGTGGAATCAATTGAAACACTTGTTGTTGAGTAATGGTTCCCAAGGAAGCAAAATCTTAGTGACCACACGTGATGAGGGAGTAGCAAGAATCATGGGTTGCAAATTGTTCAAAGTGGGACTATTATCTGAAGAAGCAGGTTGGTCATTGTTTAGTGAAATTGCATTTCATGAGAGGTCTGATGATGATTGTAGAAGTTTGAAAGAAATTGGTGTGAAAATTGCAAAAAAGTGCAAAGGCTTGCCACTTGCTTTGAAGACATTAGGTGGCCTTATGCGCTTGAAAAAAGGTGAAGAACAGTGGCAAAATGTGTTAGAAAGTCCAATGTGGGAACTTGAAGAGGTTGAAAAAGGTCTTTTCCACCCCCTAATGTTTAGTTATTTTGATTTATCAGCAAAGTTGAGGCGGTGTTTCTCATATTGTGCATTCTTTCCAAAAGACTATGTGATAGAGAAAAAAAGGTTAATCGAGTTATGGATGGCACAAGGTTTCCTCGAGGGGACTCAAGATATGGAGAAGGTAGGGGAAAACAACTTCAATGACCTGTCAATGCGTTTCTTTTTTCAAGATTTTGAAATGGATGAAAATGGTGGCATTATCAAGTGCAAAATGCATGACATGGTGCATGATTTTGCTATGTTTCTGACTAGAGGTGAGTGTTTGACAATGGGAACTAGTAGCAGCATTCAATGTTTCAATGGCAAAACTCGTCATTTTTTTTTTATGATGCAAACAGAAGAGACCATTGCTATTCAGACTTGCACTGAAAACTTGCACACTTTGCTTATTGAGTCAAATGGAACAAATCCTATTTCTCATATTGAATTATTGAAATTGTTTGATAGGCTTAAATGTCTCAGGATATTGAAATGTTCAGATTCTAGAATTAACAAGTGTCCAAAAAAAATAGGCAAATTGATACATTTGAGGCATCTTGACTTGTCAAAAAATAGGGAGTTAAAGAAATTGCCTAAAGCAGTATGTGACTTGTATAATTTGCTTATACTAGACATTAGTGGATGTTACGGACTTAAAAGACTTCCTCATAGAATGGGAAATCTTATCAACTTGTTGCATCTTCGGAATGAGGGGACAGCTCTGAATTTCATGCCTAAAAGCTTGGAGAAATTGACTAGTTTGAAAACATTGAATGTGTTTGTGGTGACTCATAAAGGAGCTGCACTTAGTGATTTGGGGAACTTGAATCATCTTTGTGGGACTCTTAGCATAGGAGGATTAGGAAGTGTTAGAGATCAGAGGGAAGCAGAAAAGGCGCAACTACAGAATAAGAAGGGGATTACTAATTTGACTCTCAAATTTGATCGCAATGGTTTGCCAGTGAGCCCAGCTAATGAATCACCAAGTATTGTTTTTGAAGCCTTAAAGCTGCCTTCGGATTTGAAAACATTAGAATTACATGGTTATCAAAGCACATTCTCTTTTATTCAGCCAAGTTGGATGGTGTCCTTAACCAAGCTGAAGGAACTTGTCATTTCAAACTTTGTAAATGCTGAACAGTGGCCTTCCTTGGGGAAATTGCCTTCTCTAGAATCACTCAAGGTAGATGATACGCGGAAAGTAAAAAAGGTGGGAGTTGAATTTTTGGGGATAGAAATGTCTTTGTCTCCATCTTCATCATCCGTTGTTGCCTTCCCCAATTTGAAGACACTACAGTTTAGGTATATGGGTGAGTGGGAAGAGTGGGAAGAGTGGGATTCTGGAAGCAGAGGAGAAATCATGCCATGTCTTTCTTCCTTGACAATTTATGGTTGTCCGAAGCTAAAAAAGTTGCCGGATTATATTCTCCAAAATACTACCCTGCAAGAATTGATAATTAGTTATTCATTAGATGCTGTCATTTCAAATCTATTCAAAAAGGACTGCAAGCCCCATATCTCTTGCATTTCTAACATGGATGTGGAAGGGGAAAAAGGTATTTCACTTTGACTTTACTTTTTTCATTAACATTTTCAAATTTTTTTGATAAGCATCAAGAGTAAACACATTACTTAAATGCATAAATTAACAACAACCAAAAGAATTAAAAAAAAAAAAAGGGGTGAAATCGATCCTTTTGTGTTCCTTTTTTGTTTAAATAAAATTACTATATTGTAGTATAAGGTGCGTTATATTATAAGTGAAATTTAGTGTATAATTTTAGAAATTTAAATTAAGATATATATTTTAAATAATTTAATATTTAAGGTAGTAATATAGGGATAATATTTTGTA